GCAAGAACTCAGGCTACCTCGTCAAGCAAAAGGGTCTCGGCCGCATCTTCTCTCGCGAGGTGAGCAAGGCCTGTACAGGCAGCGAATGTCCGACGTTTCGTGACGAGAATCTGACGCTGTTGAATCGATTCAACTCGATGCCGTAGCCCGGAAACTTGAAGGCGATCCACTCTTACAAGTACTCTGTTCTGGTCAACCAAAAGTCCGTCTCCATCGAGCCTGCAGGTGTATCTGCTGACCAACCTGCTGGTCGCGGAGTGGCGGTCAGCACCCGCAAGGGGAAGCCCGCGGTCAACAAGATTGCCAACACTCGCAACCAATACATTCTCAAGAAGGGCGGAAGCAGGCGCACAGCTGGTGCGGTCGCGAGCATCGTCGGAAAGCGCGGATACCGTGCCGATCTGCTGAAGGGTGAGTCACTCGAGGAGCGTGGAGAGGAGCATTTGGGATCTGTTGTGTCGCCTCGCAGCGACAGGGCCAAGGCAGACTCATCAGGCGTTGAGATGCAGGGCTGGAGACAGGCTCAGTTGACGATGGCACAGTAGCACTACGCTTGGAAATCTTCACTTCTGGCCGAAGGGAAGAGGACGTCAGGCTCGTCGCGATACAATTCGCTCCGGGCGCTCTCCCTACGTCGCATCGTCGCAGATGTTCTGCGAGGTGTTAGAGCTTGAATCATTCAGCCACTCCGGAGTTGGAATCTCTGTGCCGCTACACGAACGGTATCGCCAGGATGTCAAGGGCTGCCGATTTCGGTGGCTGCTGTCAACATCACGTCTGGTCTTGAATCACGCGCCGTAATTTCGCTGGGGGGAAAGAGCCTGGGTGCGGCCGCGACCGCGCGCCATCGAGCAATGCGCATTCTCAACGCTCTCGAGCTGTTGTCTGGCTTTTCTCGAAAGGGGCAACTACTCACATTGGGTTGCTTCCAATATTTCTCGCAGATTCCGTCGCTCGCTCTTCTGTGATTCTCAAATCGCAGCGCCCATCTACTGGTCGTCAAACCGCCAAGCCCCGCAAGGTCCGTGGCTCAAAGGCGAAAACTCTTGTGCACGGAGCAGAGGCCACCGAGACCGAGGCTTAGACGTCTGCGTGGATCAAGCTCGAAGCCCCATCGACAATATGACTTGACGGCTATGACACATGCCAATACATGCGTTCGCGATGCAGTGCAAGCGAAACGAGTGCCGGGCGAGCGTGCTAGAGGCAGACCCAGGTTGAGCGTGGTGAAACCCCTGAGAAGGAAGGTAAGAGCTGGAAGTCATGGCACAATGTTTCTAGCGAGCTCAATCTTTTCCACCTCCATGTAGCGGCGAAAAGTCTGACCCTCCAATGGAGACGCCGAACTGCGCCAGAGACTTGAGTCAGCGCAGTCAGTAGCTCGCGCTCCACTCAAAAGCCTGCGTTCTTGAGAGGTGTTGGAGACGAACAAATCTTGCACAGCCTTGTCTGTGTCATCCATCGCCCCTCCGAGTTGAGAGTCAGAATCTTCGCGATCAACGCTCGCGGCGTCTGGCACGTCCTGTGGGCGGTCTCGTCGCTGACGGCTTTGACGACGCCGGCTGCCAAGGAATGACCGCCGACTCTGCGCGTCTGTCGGCATACGCAAGTAGTCTTGGCCCAACCCGCAAGGCAAAATGCGCTTTGAATACCGGTGGCCCTGGACGGCCGTTGAATGCCACGAAGCTCTGCAAGGGGCTCGATCTGAAAGCAGCAAAGCCCAAAGATCGACAAATTCTGCGATCCTCTACTGATAGCACCTCAGCTCTCGAGCCTGGCTCGAACCTCACTAGAGCCCTGACGGTGCTGCGAGCAGCTCGGTCTGATGGATGCCTAATCCTCGCTGCAAGGGGTCGAGACCCGCTCAACTTCTCGAAAGCATCGGGTTCCGCTTAGCTTCATGCGAGCACCACGCAGGGTCTGATACAGAGTACTGCAGGTGTAGATGTTGCGTCTGGCGATGGAGCTCGCTCACGTCAAAGATTTGACATTTCGACGTCTCTGTGCATGAGCAGAGGATCCCATCGTCGGTGCAGTCCGAGTTGTTCGCGGGGCTGCAAGGGGCTTCCAGAACCTTGATTAAGTCTGTGAACTGCTTTGTCGGCGACAGCATTCTGCTCTGCTCTCCTACACCCTCGTGACTGCAGGTGCCCTTGCCAGTGATGTCCTGCATGCCAGATGCCACGCCACGCCACGCTCGACTCGCGACGCGTAAATTGGCGCGTCTCCCGGCCCGCTCCTCCGCGTGGAGTTTCGAACATCCAAAGATGCAAGGAGTCTTTGCGCTAGCGTGGGAGCCCAAGAAAGGTCCAATCGTAAACTTCATCTGGACCATTCACGATTCGAGACTCACATCAGACTTGCGCACCAGAGATCGTAAATTGCCTTTCTCGTCCGGGTTGCTACAGGCGACACCTCAGCTTGCACATAGGATTGCATCGAGGGACGGATCCTGCCTGGCAGATCGCAAAGGTAAGGTTAGCCAAGACTATGTGTAGCCGTTATCGCTCGATGGAGAGTCCGGCCCAAGTCTGGCACCACGTCGGTCTCCATCGACATGAATTGACATGAGCTCGACACGTTCCCAGAAGATGAGCCAAATATTGCTTACGCGACGATTTACGCTCGTGCCCGCGTCGACACATACTGTGCTTATCCTTGCGGTATAGCGTTGAGCATCTCTGCTCGAACCTCCACCATGGGAATCGCGGGTTGCGGG